ATATATATGTTCCCAACCTGGTCTTTCCACAGATATATAAACTCCACTTGCCGAGTTTCCAACAGACCTCACAACCTCTGAGAATGCCCGCCATAGACGTGGGCGAAACGTCGGGAGAGAATGCTTCTGGAACAAGCACATACAGCTCGGAAAACTCACAAAAATCCTGTAAACTCTTTGTTTTTCCCCAACCCTTCCTTCTTTTTGTAAGGAACCCTTACAAACTCTATCTTGCCCGTCTTCTATTCGGGTTCAAACCGCTTTCGGCAAAACAAGGGGGCAAATATAATTCGGACGGAGCTTTCTCAGTTGGAAAATATTGAAAAATATTGAAAAATATTGAAAAAGATTAATTGAATTAATTTAAAATATCGATTTCACCCCGTAGAATTAAAACCAAAATACAGTTGAAACAGGAGATGGCACGCAATTTTTTTTTGGAAAACGATTGAGAAGGGAAAAAAATGTGTCTGTCCATCCAAAAAGTATCGAAATATTGCACCAAGGAGACTTCCCTCTCCTTATTCAATAAGGGAGCGTCGCTACAATCAATCCGTAAAGAAACCCGCCCTGCATCCTGGTCCTTTCACCTGCTTTGTTTCCACCCATTGGATTCCTAGGACTAAACACCCAAAAGGAAAAGAGGAAATGCTTTTGACAGTTTATTGACAGCTGATTTCTATCCTTCAAAGTAATGAGTTCAACGAGTTTCGTGCCAGAGAAAAAGAAGAAAAAAAAAATCTGAACTTACTGTCAACTAGAGTCATTTCCTGACTGAAATAGGAGAGAAAAGAAAGCGAGAAAAATACATAATCCATCGAAAGCAGGGGTCCGTTTTTTTTAATTTATTTTTTTATTTCCCATTAGGACAAACCAAAAACGACACATGTAAGATAAATGTGCAAGTTAAACTTATTTAGATCCCACTTGCCTAGTTTCCAACAGACCTCACAAGCTCTGGTGATGCCTGCCATAGATGTGGGCGAAACGTCAGGAGAGAATGCTTCTGGAACATGGCCACGCAGCCCGGAAAACTCACAGCAATCCTAAACTTATTAGGTTCCTAATTGTACGTGTATGGCATATAGGGACTGAGTGCTGCTTCTTTTCCTCTCCAAAGTGTCTCCAAATAAACCCTATCCAAAACGATCCATGTGCTCTCGTTTTGGAAAGAACTATAATGTGAAGGTTTTATGTCGTCTTATGACATTCCCCCACTTGCCTAGTTTCCAACAGGCCCCCCAACCTCTCTGAGGATGCCTGCCATAGATGGTGGCGAAATGTCAGGAGAGAATGCTTCTGGAACATGGCCATACAGCCCGGAAAACTCACAGGTTTCATATCCTTCAAAGGCGACTCGTCTGTTCAAGGTTCCTGGGCAATTTGGGTTTCAAGCACCTCCCTTCCCCTCATTTAGACCTGGAGGAGCCACATTCCTGCAACAGGAGAGGGGCCGGACCATGCCTCTGATGCCCCCCAATTTCCTCAATTTCAATGGGAGGGAGGAGCAAAATGAAGTATTGCCGACAGGAAAAACCTTGCCTCCTCCCTCCAGTCAATTTCTATTCAATCCTCACATTTCCAGCCTTGCAATAACCCCAAACTCTCGTTGGGTATGAAGAAGTGCAGGTGAGGGATCCCAAGCAAAGGGGCAAGCCAAGCGATCCAGTGAAGCAAAGAGAGAAGGGAGAGCTCTCGGTGGGAACTGTTTCGGGGGGGGGGGGGGGGGGGGGGGGGGTGTCTCCCTTCCTAGAAGTTTGGGACTGAAGGGTAATATTTGGGGGAGGGATTCCTGGTTGCGTGGGATCTGCAATGAACAGGTTTTGGGCGACCCCGTTGCGACACCCCTAAACTATATCACTATTCATTCTCGCTCGGGCAAATAACAGGGGAGCCCCCCTCAGCTGTCATGAAGTCCCCCATCAAAGAGTGAAGACCTCATATTCGGGAGGGAGCGATTATTAGGAGACAAGTGATTCGTATTTCCAGGGTGCAATTGGGAGAATGAAAAGGAAAGAGAGGGAGGGAAGGAAGGAAAGAAAGAAGGAAGGAAAGAAGGAAAGGAAAGGAAGGAAAGCAATGAAGGAAGGAAGGAAAGACGGAGGGAGGAAAGGAACCAAGGAAAGAAGGAAGGAAGAAGTGAGAGAGGGAAGAAAAGAAGGAGCGAAGAAAGGGAAGGAAGGAAAAGAAAGAAAGAAAGAATGAGGGAAGGAAAGAAAGAAACAAGGAGAGAAGGAAGGAAAGACGGAAGGAAAAAGCAAAAAGGAAGGAAAGAAAAAAAGAGGGAAGGAGGGAAGGAAAGGAAGAAACAAGGAGAGAAGGAAGGAAAGAAGGAAGGAAAAAGAAAAAAGGAAAGAAAGAAAGAAGGAAAGAAGGAGAGAGAAAAGAAGGAAAGAAAAAAGAAGGAGGGAGGAAAGGAAGGAAGGCAAGAAGGTAGAAAGGAGAAGGAAGGAAAGAAAGAAAGAAAGAAAGAAAGAAAGAAAGAAAGAAAGGAGGGGAAAGAAGGAAGGAGCGAGGAAGGGAGGGAAGAAAAGGAGCGAAGGAAGGAGGGAAAGGAAGGAAAGAAATAAAGAAGGAAAGAAAAAAAGAAAGAAGGAAGGAAAGAAGGAGGAAAGGAAGGAAGGAAAGGAGGAAAGGAAAGAAGGAGGAAGGGAAGGAAGTCTATGTTTTAATTTCGCCTCCTTTGGAGGAATCTCACTCCGACATCTGCAACCTTGCAGATTTTTCGCCCCCAACTTTCCCCTGAATTGCCTCGAAGTGCATATTTCCACTGTGGAAGGAATGCAGCGTGATACCGCTTTAACTGTCGCGGCTCAATGCTATGGACCCCTGGGAGTTGTAGTTTGGTGAGGGGCCAGAGAAGGCGAAGGGCCTTGGAAAACTACAGCTCCCGTGTTTCCGTAGTATTGAGACATGGCACTTAAAATAGTGTCAGGCTGCTGCATTTCTTCTCTAGTAGATGCACCCGGAGTCCAAAATACTTCAGGAGCCCATATTTTAGGGTCTTTCCACCAACTCAGTGCCCCCCAGAGCTCACCCAATAGGGCCAGTGGCAATGTTTCTTGGAAAACTGGGTCTGGTCCTCTAGCCTGCCTGAAAACCGTGTCCGTGAAGTTACCAGAGTGACGCGAATTTGGATCTCACCTTTTCAGGTGGAGGCTCCTCGCTGAACTCATAAAAATAGGAAAACCAGACAGGAAAACCAGACCTCTTCCCGGCAGTAAACTGGAGGCAAAGGCACCCTTGCTTCGACTGCTTTTCCTGCTTTTGGACGCCCAGGATGGAGGGGGTTCCTATCCAAAAGGGAAGGGACTGGGACACTCCTGCATTCACAGCCGATTTCCCAGGAAGAGTCAATTTCAGGAGCCTAGAAAATAGTAAAAAAAGGAGGGAGGGAAACATGCTAACCTCCACAGGAAGGAAAAACAAAGCCTGGGAGCAGCCCCCAAGAAGGTCCTCTCCTCTGTTGCCACCCAAAACAAACTGGAAGGAGGACTGGCAGCACCAGGGAGAGGAGAAAAGTGAGGTCTCCAGAGCTTTCTTTTCTTGCTTGGGCACACAGAAAAAAACATAAAATGCGTGCAACTCTCTGAAAAGGTGAAAGAGAGAGACACAATCTCTTTGAATGGTCCTCCCCACAGGAGAGATCTCCTTCGCATAGCTTTAGGATCCCACTCCTCTCCCATAAGCGTGTATCAGTCTATTTGAAAATAAGGGCCACAGTTGTCAATTGGACTTACCCTTGGGCAGGCTGCAAAGGTGGTGCAGACCTTTCCTGGCCTCCTCCTTGAAGGGGTCCTGGTTTGAGCGTTGGACCAGGACTCTGGAGGCCAGGCTTAGAAGCCCTGCTTCCCGGCTGGTGAAGTCAGGAATGTCACACTCTCTCAGCCTCAGAGGAAGGCAATGGCAAAGCTCCTCTGAACAAATAGTGGCAAGGAAACCTTGTGACAGACTCATCTTCTGGTTCCCTGAAATCAGAAACTACTCAATGAAGGTGCACAAAAGTACCTTCAAGTCAACTTAGGGTCACCCCATGAATCCCAGAGTTTTTTTCTTACCCAAGAATTAGGTCAGCAAACCCTTTGAAATTCATGAAGTCACCCAAAGTGGATAGGTGACTTGGAGGCACACAGGTGACTTGAAGGTACACAGACTCAGGCTGGATCTACCCTGCTCTATCTCCCAGGATCTGATCCCAGATTATCTGCTTTGAACTGGATTCTATGAGTTTACAATGCCAAATAATCTGGGATGAGAAGATAATTTGGGATCAGATCCTGGGATATAGGGAAGTGTAGCTCCAGCCTGAGCCTGTGTGCCTTCAAGTCACCTGTCCACTTTGGGCGACTTCATGAATTTCACAGGGTTTTCTTAGCCCCACATGTTCAGGGATGGATGTGGAACATGCTCCCTATCATCCTCCCCCTTCAGTGGTCCAAAATGGGAAGGATGAGGCCAGCAATCTGATAGGAGAAGCTCTCTGCATGGAAGCACTTGCTCTTAGACCCCTGGAGAGAGCTTTGTGTCCCAAAGAAAACTTGAACTTGCTGCAGGCTTGTAGGTCCTCTGCACCATCTTTATTCCAGGACACAAGTATACTGGCCACTTAATAAGGATTGTAGGCAGCTCCAAAACAATATGCAAACAGGCATGTGAATTAGAGGCCTTAAACCAGGATAAGTACATTTAGGGGATAGTCCAAAATAGTGTCCCCATAACATGCATCAGTTTGCCTTGGTGTAAACCACATCACAGATTGAAATGCCATTAAATTAAGTGTAGATGGGGCCTTACCAGCCTGGCCCATAATCAGTTTTGTCATGATTCTAAATGAAACCCTCCTCCATTTTAATCCAATCCTAGCCTTCTAACAGTAGCAAGATCAGGGCAATACTTCCATTAAGTCAGTTCTTAACCTCTTTTGGACAATGTTCCTCTTTGATACCCTAATGAATGTATATTCTTCCCTGGAAATGGACAGAATCAACAAGGCACACAAATTATGTGTATTATTTTATTGCAGTGGAAACTGTTTTCTATCACAGGAACTTTTTTACAATTAATATTTGAGAAGAGCTCTTTTTTTAAAAACCTTCGAATTAGAAACATTACAAGCAGTGGAAGGGAAAAAAGTGTGTTGCCGTTAGGTCCCAAGTTAAGCACGTCTGTACAAGAGCGTAGAATGATTCTAGCAGCAGATTTTAGACACCATGATAGGAAAAAGAGAGCAAAAGAGTAGTAATTTGAGCCATGTATCTTTTTTGCATCCAAGGATAGAAACATGCTTGTAGGAGCTCCTGCCTCAAGGGCCCAAACAGCCTGCCTTGTTCTGATCCCTTCCACATTGACTTGCTGGTGTCATTTGTTACTCTGCTTCAGACAGCAAAGCGTCAAGGTGAGAGAGATGATATAGAAGTTTATTATTGTTAACTGCCATTGAGCTGACTTTGGTTTATGGCAATCCAATGAATGAGAGACCTTCAAGTCATTCTATCCTCAACAGTAGTGATCAGGAATTGCAGGTGTAGGACCCTTGTTTTCTTGACTGAGTTTGCCTATCTGGAATTCAGTCTTCACCTGATTCCAGTCCTGAAGTACATCCACTTCATGACATACTCACTGAATCCACACCGCTGTATCCTAATTTTGTTAACTCAGGCCACTTCCACACAGCTGAATAAAATTCAACATTTTCTGCTTTGAATTGGAATAAATGGCATTGTAGACTCAGATAACCCAGTTCAAAGCAGATATTGTGGGATTTTCTTTCTTGATATTCTGGGTTATATGGCTGTGTGGAAGGGCCCTCACTGAGTTGGATCAAAATTTGATCATACTTAAGAGCAGAGCTATTGATGTCTGTGAGATTTAATTTAGCCATGTATTCATTAGAGATTCTGGTCTGAGCAGGACTCTATTGACTGGAATTTACTTTGAGATCAGCAGTAGTTGGGTATTTTGAACCTCTGCTTGCCACGGAAACTCACCGGCTATAATTCAGACAGTCACACTCTCTCAACCTCAGAGGGAGGAAACCCTTTCCTTGAAATCCTCCATATGAGGACTGACATGAAGAATGCCTGGACTTTTGAAGATACCAATGCTTGGGTTGGCATTCAGCTCTTGGCCCAATCCAGCCAAGCAGCCCTTGTTACAAAAGGGAAGTACTGTATCATGAATAGGTTTAACTGTTTACAGAACCTCTACTGTCTTGTATGTAATGCAATCCAGTACTGTCTCCTATGCTGTGATAGAAGCTCTTCCTACATTTCATTCACGGATCTTTTCAAGCCCTGTTTGGAGATGCCAGGGATCTGAATTTGGTACCATCTGCATGTAAAGCACAAGTTTGCTATTTGGCCCAATCCAAGCTATTTTTCTGACTGAAGAGGTGTCTCCTCCCATTCCACGTGCAAAACCTAACAGGGTCAACAGTTGCATCTTTTCAACACTGTTGATAGGACACCATCTTCTACCCACCTTAAACATTATCTAAGAATGTCCTGCATCGTCCATTTAGCACACAGGGCACTCCTGCTGTTCTTTCCCAATGAAGCCCAATATTTGCTACCTTAGTTGATGCTCTCACTCTTCCTAGTAGTCTACTACTGAACTAGACTCACTCCCTGGGTTCAGCCTAGTGGCAAGTGTCCCATACAGCTACTCTGCAGGTTATGGACAGCAACATGATAAGGCAGTGTTTACATTAATTTTTTTCAGTACCTACACAAGGGCATATAGTACTCCTCTGGATTAACCCATATTAAGATATTTCCATCAATAGTCGTCTACTCACAGAGTGGTATACAAAATTTTAGAATTCGTCCTCATCAATAAAATTCAATGGAACAATTGGGCAACCCATCCCCAAAGCCGATTTTAGTGTAGCTTAGTAATAGTGGAATATAGTTATCTGGATGATTTCACAAAATAAGTCCAATTTGGAAATGGTAACAAAATGTAGCTTCATGAAAGCAGAAATAAGGAATGTATCAATTACTGAGCCTTTGGAATTCCACTACTACGAGTAATGAACACAAAAGAAGCTCAGGAAAAGCTGAGAGAAAACTGGTTGTTTGAATTAGCATTCAGACTTTAAGTGTTTCCTTTAAATTGCTTCTATGCATGTCCAGGAGTATAGTGATGCCTCTAAACTGTAGGAGAGCTGGTGATGCTGCCTTTCCAATGCTGAGGCACTTTCTGTCACAGCAGCACTGACACAGAAAAACATCTATTTCCTGAACCATCTCTTGGAAAGTTAACTTTGGAGATGGGTTCTCAATCTAATCCTCTCTGAGAAAGAGTACAAAAGGTTGACTGCAGGCTTCTTAAAGGGTTAACTAATCCACATGAAGTGGTTTTGAGTTTGCACTCTTCAAGTGGATGGGGCAGGTGGTGAATCACATTCATTGGTGATTGCGAACTAAGCGAATTAATTTTTTTTAGATTAGTTCACCACAAAGCAGTGCATGCTCAGATTTAAGAGAATTAAATTTGGAAGGATTACCAAATTTAGATAATCAAGGGGAGATAGTCATTCCACACATCAGTGTCACAAAAGGGGAACTGCCCATTTCATGTCTGAGACAGTTGAAGACACACTAGGTAGAATTTACCCTTTGTATCTTCTTTTGAAAGTCCCAGGGTTATAGCTGAGGAAGGAATTTCTATGGCTTTGAAGCTAGTATATGTGAGCTTATGTGTTTCTACAGATAGCAACTCTTGTTGCTTCCGATTGGACCAGATTTAAAAGAATGCAGTGCTCCAGTATCTTTTGTCATTGCATAGTGGAGGCAATGGGATAATCTTTGCTGTCTCTTGAGTGACAAGCTCCATCAGCTACGAGTCTCTCTTCCACACAACCAGAACATATAAGAACCTGGCATCCCTGTCAGAACAGGTCCAATCTGACCTGGTTTTTGAAACTAAGCAGGTGAATATTTGGATGGAAGACCACCAAAACAAACTAGTGAGACCCAGGAAGGCTAGGAAATCATCTTACCTAGGGAGATGCTGCCAGTCAGAGTTGGCAAGGCAGTTGGTGGTATGACTCAGTATAAGTGTCCCTTTGTTCTCTTCTGAGTAAAATTCACAGAGGCATATATTAATCTGAATCAGTTTGCCCATGTTGTTGATTGTTTTAATGGTCCCCCTTTCTCCACAAATGAGCCAATTTTGCTTTCATCTTTGCCCGAACAAAAGCTGGTTACACAAAACGGCTAGGGTCCGCAGTGAGAAAAATATATGGGAAGCAATAGGACGTGTAAACAGAGTTCTGCTGAAGGGTGAACGGATGCATTTTTCATTCTTTGAGTATTATATAATCCTCCTTTAAACAGCTCCTGGAACCCCCTGGGGGAAGGTTCATTTGGCAGATCATTTTTCCTTGATGGCTGTGGCAAGCGTAACAATGTTCTGGGCCTGCTTCAGTAATGGCATGTCTATCATGCTGCCATGGAAAGTGAAGGCGCCCTGCAAAAAAACAGAGAATATTGACTTCTTGAAAGAGACCTTGGGAAGGGAAAATTGCAGGCTTGGACTGGTTTTAATACTTTCCAGTGAGACAGGAATTATTAGATCCCACATGAATCAAACTGAGTCGTCTTGTACTGACTTAAGAAAAAGGCAAGAGGCATAACAATAAAAGGGGTGGGAGAGAAAAACCCACAATGTAACAACACAACAAAAAAGATATTTGGACATAAAACACACACACAACCATCTGTAGAGAAGGACTGTGTTCTTTGACTCCTATTATTACTGTATTTATTTATTTTATTACAGAAAGTAAATAAATATTATTGAATCAGACATAGCCAGAATTGATCAGAAGAGTTTAATAAGAAGGGCTGTGGTTGAGGAAGTAGCATTTGGAGAACAGACATAAGTGACTCTATTCCTTCCTGGACGAGAGAAAAACATAATGCAATGCCAGTGTCGCACTAAGTTCTTCCTATGTGTACCCCCAGAGGAAAGTGAGGTCAGATGGATTAATAGGAACAAATATCTGGCAATTACAGCAGATTATAAGATGGTGTCCCAGCAATTGTTTTCCAACCTGAGATGAAAACCCCTGCACTTAACAACTGTCAAAGTGCTATTTAACAATATAATCCTAATACCCACCACAGCAGATCTTCAAGCTAGTTAGAGCCATTGCTACTGCCAAGAATATAATAAAATGAATATGTCTAAGGTTTAGGATCAGTAAGGTCCAATCTACATTACCATATAGAGCAGTTTCATAAAGCAGTTTAACCACATTAAACAGTAGTGTAGATGGGGCCAAGAAGTCTTAAAGAAATATAGTGTTCTTTTCCAGGAGCATTGCGATTGCATCCAACTCATAATCTGAAAACAGGTTTGTAAGTTATCTTTCCTGTCAACATTACAGATCACTTTTAATCATTAGAAGAGGATATCTGGGTTTTCCTAATATTTAAGCACTTGGTGAAATTGCTGGTATAAGAAAGACCTCACAACTTCTAAGGATGTCTGCCACAGATGTGGGCGAAACGTCAGGAGAGAAGGCTTCTGGAACATGGCCATACGGCCCAGAAAACTCACAGAAATACACCAGATTGTTCTCTGTTTGGCTTCTGAAAGGGTGGGCATTTGGCCATCGTTTCATAGCTGAGATTCAGGTCCATGTTTGGCCTTGTAAACAGCTGGATGCAAGCAGTGACAGTGGGTCCACAGGAGTGACACTGCTTGTCCAGCAAGGTGACATGCTCCAAAATATGATTAAATGTGAATCAACACTTTCATACAATTAATTACCGAGTGAGGGTCATTGGCAATGGTGGTCTCTTCTTGATGTGGATGAAAATAATTTCATTGCAGCTGGAGAAACCAAGCAACCTTGCCAACTGCAGATTGCCTGGAAAAAGTTGTGAACAGGATCTAATATGGCACAGAGCTGAGACACATGAGCAGGGACAGTATGTCACAAGCCTGCAGGGAAATGAATAGATGCAAACAGCTGAAGTGCACTGTGTGTTTCCAATTTATTTGGGGCTACAATGTAGAAGTGATATAAAATATCATTTCATGTAAAATGTTAAACATTTAGCTTACTCTTTCTAACTATATATGTTTCAATTTATAGCCATTTATTAATTACATTTAAAGGATATCCATCTTCTTTTCCTTTTCCTCTACTTCTGTCTCATCTGCTTTACATTTGTATTTGTGTTTTGGAATTTTTATTGAACCTATCTGCTATTTAAGTAAACATGTTCTAACTAAAAAAAAAACAAGAAATGGTTGCAAGCAGGAATAAATGAAATTATAATGCATTTTTGGTTGCATCCTTTTTGAGATTAGCATAGAATTCTACAGACAGATTTTGATTCAATTGTAAGTTATATCACACCATTCTATGCATTGTACACCCAAAGTACAATGCTGCAAGCATCCCATTGCCAGCCTGCTTTTTTGTGTGTGTGCCAGAAACGACTTGAGAAACTGCAAGTTGCTTCTGGTGTGAGATAATTGGCTGTTTTTCAAAAACTTTATTTTAAAGGCAAAGATTTCTCCTTGACATTAGTCGTGTCTGACTCTGGGGGTGGTGCTCATCTCCATTTCTAAGCCGAAGAGCTGGCATTGTCCGTAGACACCTCCAAGGTCATGTGGCCAGCATGGCTGCATGGTGCGCTGTTATCTTCCTGCCAAAAGGGTACCTATTGATCTATTCAGATTTGCATGTTTTTGAACTACTAGGTTGGTTATTACAACCTTATTACAATTACCCTATTTTATAACATATGCATTTTGGTTACTTTAAAGGCAGTGTTTCTCAATCTTCCTAATGCCGCGACCCCTTAATGCCATTCCTCATGTTGTGGTGACCTCCAACCATAAAATTTTTTCCGCTGCTACTTCATAACTGTAATTTTGCTACTGTTATGAATCGTAATGTAAGTATCTGATATACAGGATATATTTTCATTCACTGGATCAAATTTGGCACAAATACCCAATACGCCCAAATTGGAATACTGGTAGGGTTGAGGAGGATTGATTTTTGTCATTTGGGAGTTGTAGTTGCTGAGATTTATAGTTCACCCGCAATCAAAGAGCATTATGTGCTCCACCAATAGAATTTGGCCAAACTTCCCACACAGAACCACCACGACCAACAGAAAATGATGCGTTTTCTGACCCCTCTGACATCTCCTTGTGAAAACCCCCCCAGGGGTCCCAACTCCCAGGTTGAGAAACACTGTTTTAAGGGGAAAACACATTAAAAAGTTAAAAAATCCCAAAGTCTTAACATTTAGGATGAGGGGGGAACCACCACAAAAGCATGACAAAAACATTTTAGTCCCCCCACATAAGGACATTATCAGTTACATTAATTTTGCACAAAGGACAGAATTATGCTCTTGTTATCTCAAAAACTGAAACAGAAGAGAGAATGTTGTTACATGTAACATGTTATTTTCAAGCTATGCTAGGAAATTAATAAGACTGTAAATCCCTTATCCATAAATTGAAATCCAAAATACTTCAAAATAATCCACATGCATAGCTGAGATAGCGGCATCTTTGCTTTGTAATAGTTCAATACCCACAAACATTGCTTCATTTGTGTTGTATAGACTTACATTCAGACTATATGTATAAGGTGTACATGCAATATAAATGAATTTTGTATTTAGATTTGGGTCCGATTTTCAAGGTATCTCATTATATATGCATATACCAATAAAGGTACTTCAAAATCTGGAAAAAAAATCCAAAATCAAAACTCTTCTTCCTCAAAACTCAACCTGTAATGACTTCATGTAATCCATGGAGAACTCAGAAATCCATACTGCAGTAGACATTGGCACATATTTATTTTGATTAATGTACTTTATAATTGTAAGCATGATGCCTTATCATCTTTTTAAAAATTATTATTATTATTATTATTATTATTATTATTATTATTATTGATAGTAATTTTATTACATTTCTATTCATTTCATTACAAAAAAAACCCCATCTCTACAATTCATATGATGCCTTAACATCAAAGGGTATGTGATCAAAATGTCATGTATGAAGTGGCTCTCACTTCTCATTTTCTCTCTCATTTTAGTTGTTTATTCGTTCAGTAACTTATGACTCTTTGTGACCTCATGGACCAGCCCAGGCCAGAGCTCCCTGTCAGCTGTGGCCACCTCCAGATCCTTCAAGGTCAAGCCAGTCACTTCAAGGATACCATCCATCCATCTTGCCCTTGGTGGCCCCTCTTCCTTTTTCCTTCCATTTTCCCCAGCATCATTATCTTCTCCAAGCTCTCCTCTCTTCTCATGATGTGGCCAAAATACTTCATCTTTGCCTCTAATATCATTCCCTCCATTGAGCAGTCGGGCTTTATTTCCTGAAGTATGGACTGGTTGGATCTTCTTGCAGTCCAAGGCACTCAGAATTTTCCTCCAACACCACAGTTCAAAAGTGTCTATCTTCCTTTGATCAGCCTTCCTTATGGTCCAGCTCTTGCATACTACTCATACTTATCCTAATAATACCTCATCTAAATAAGTGGGGATGAGGTCCAATTGAAATCAATTCAACCTGAGTGAAGAGATTTAGGATGAAAATGGTTGTTTTAGCCACAGCGATCTCTTTTCAAAGTGCTATTTTAAAAACCACTGTTTCCAGAATGAAACCCCTGGCTAATAATAGTGTTATTCCAGAAGATACAAATGGAGTTTCAAAATATCAAGCAAGTTGGAGGTCCGACTCTAGCTTGATATGGAAGAAATAATTCTAAATTAGAGGCAGGACAAATGTACCTCTATCTTGTTCTCAGTGTCTTCTAGCTCCGAACTCATCATCTGGCACGCAGACTGCGTGTGAACAAAACATAGTAATTTTCAGCCTATAAAGCTTTAGTAGGAATAGTTACTTAACTCTAACAAAACCCATGCCAAGTACAGTGAGATGAAAAACGCGGGATTGCTGCCACTTAAATGAACTGAAATGATATTTAGACTGTATTGCTTTCCTTTGAATGCTCTCAGTATGCCCCAGAGAAGGCCATCTGGCCAGAACATTAGTTCTTTTGTTCCAACCTGCTTTGGAGAAAGAAAGAAGGCAGCTGAGCACTATTATACCTGTGAACACCAGGCAGGAGGAAAAATGCACCAGATATTTAAGAACTGGAAGGTAGGCTTTTATGGTTCTCTTACTGCAAGCCAAATCCACATCCTATCATGCTCAGCAGCTCTGCCAGCCTCCAGGAGCTGAGTGTGAAATACATATATTTTTCACAGTTTGGCCCACCCTTTTATGTTGGATAGTGTTGCCGATTTGGGAGCAAGATAGAAATGAAGGGAAACAACATCATGGGTAAAGTGTTTACATGCTCATTCTGCCGTACATGTACGATGCAAGGGACGAAATGTAGCTAAAGGAAGGACTCACATGAGATGTTACAGCCCAGACATTCAGCATATCATTTAATGGAGAAGGTTGTA